CACACACACACACACACACACACACACACACACACACACACACACACACACACAACACACACACACACCACACACACACACACACACACACACACACACACACACACACACACACACACACACACACACACACACACACACACACACACACACACACAAACACACACACAACACACAAACAAACACACACAAACAACACAAACAAACACACACACACACGCACAAACGCACACACACAGCGCAGAACGTCAGTGCAGTACAGATCTTACATCTTGTTAAACACGAAGAGGATTGAACAATGGCTGGTCTAGTCTGCTAGCCATGGGTCCTGTACATGTGCATAAATCATGTTGAAAGAAAAAAATGGATTAGAAAGTGAAGAAATATATTAAAAAAAAAGATAGTGTGGCTTTGAGAGTCGGGACGTGAGAGAGAAGGGAGGAGGCGAGAAGTGATCGCGAATCCTGCATAGTAAGCGTTTCGCGCTCGGAGACAACTGTCGTGAATACAGCTGTTTTTGTTTTTTTTTGTTTTGATTGTTGTGTTGTGTGTGTTGTGTTGTGTTGTGTTGTGTTGTGTTGTGTTGTGTTGTGTTGTTGTTGTGTGTGTTGTGTGTTGTGTTGTGTTGTGTGTGTTGTTGTTGTTGTGTTGTGTTGTGTGTTTGTGTTGTGTTGTGTTGTGTTGTGTTGTGTTGTGTTGTGTGTTGTGTTGTGTTGTGTTGTGTTGTGTGTTGTGTTGTGTTGTGTTGTGTGTGTTGTTTTTGTTTAATGAATAACAACTAAGATCAGACAAAGGTAATTGAAGTTAGCGGAAGCAGCAGTTACAATTGTGATGATGATGATGATGGTTATGATGATAGTGATAATAATTGTAATGATAATCATAATCATAATAATAATGATAATAACAATGACAATGATAATAATAATGATAATGATAACAATGCGAATAACAACGAAATCTTTAACAATTTCCATCTAACCATCGTTTCCTGTCCCCCATCCCCCCCGTCTCGCCCCCCCCCGCCTCTGACTGCACGTGTAGAATCATATGTCAGGCTGTGAACTTATCTAAATATATATTCATAAATATTTAGATAGATAGATATATGGATAGATAGGTAGATAGAGAAATAGAAGCCAGGCAAATAGATTGAAGACAGACAGATAGATAGATAGACAGAGAGATTGATGGATAGACAGATAGATGGACAAAAATATAGTTAGATAGATGGACAAAAATATAGGTAGACAGATTGTTAGATAAAGTGGCCAAGGCAGACAGATCAGTGAATAGGCAGATAGGTAGATTGATAGATGGACAGACATACATACAGATAGATCGATAGATAGAGAGAGAGAGAGGAAGTCCGGATGGGTGGGGAGAGGGAGAAAGAGAGAGGGGAAGGGAGAGAATGAAGGATAGGGAGGGGGAGGAGAAAGGGGGAAGAAGGAGAAAGGGAGGGGAAGGGGGGGAAGTGGGGAGATGAAATAAGGGAAGAGGAAAACGACGAAGAAAGGAATAGAGGGATTAAAGAGACAAAAAAGATAGGGAAGAGGAACATAGGCCGAGAAACGAAGAGAACTTGAAGAGGAAATGAGGATGGGTAAGGGGAAGAGTAGAGAGGAGAGAGAGGTATCGGAGAGAAATAGGGGGAAGGGAGAGGGAGGAAAGGGAATGGGGGAGCGAAGAAAGTGAGAGAGTTTGGGAGGAAGAGGAGGGAAGTGTGTGTGTAGAAGGGGGGCATATGGAGGGCTTAAAGTGGGAAGGGAAGGAGTGAATTTAAGGGAAATTTGGGAGTGAGAGAGGGTGGCAGAGTGGAAAAGGGAAAGAGAGAAAGAGAGAGAAAGGAAAGGGGAGAGAGGAAGCGAGAAGTAAAAGAACGAGGGTGAAAGGAGAGAGGAATACCTCTTTCTTTCTTCCTCATTTTCTCTCTTTTTAATGGGGTTTACACGAGTCCCGAAGATTATAATTATCTTTGTTTGTTATCGTCATATTATTAATAGATAGTCAATTATTTATATATTTTTCATTCCACAAAAGTACTTTTACACTGACGAATAACGATCAACAGATTTTTTAACTTTATTTNGCGAGAGAAGATAAAAGAGGAGGGGAAAAGGAAAGAGACAAGATAGCAAAAGAAGGGGGGAAATTAAAAAAAAAAAAACAAAAAAAAAAAAAAAAAAAAAAAAAAAAAAAAAAAAAAAAAAAAAAAAAAAAAAAAAAAAAAACAAAAAAAAACCAAAAAAAAAAAAAAAGATACAAAAAATAAAAAAACAAAAAAAAAAAAAAAAATAAACATACATAAAAAAAAAAAAACAAAAAAAAAAAAATAAAAAAAAAAAAAAGAAAGAAAACAAAAAAACAATAAAAAATAAAAAGAAATAAAAAAACAAAAAAAAAAAAAAAAAAAAAAAAAAAAAAAAAAAAAAAAACAAGAAACAAGTCATAACGAGACAATGTCAAACTCCGAATGCATGGCCTAAGAAATACAACA